CCCTCCCTCTCTTTTTCATTCTTTCATCTCCCTCACTATTTCCTTTTTTTTCTTCCCCTTCCATCTCTCCCTCCTTCCTCCTTTCTGTCCCAGCCAGCCCTTCCCAGCTGGGGAGTTTCTCCAGACTTCAAGCTCACAGACCTTCACTTCCTATTAGTCTCTGCTCACACAGCTTCAGCTCATTGGACCTGCTGGGATATGACCTGACATGGTAGTGACCGCCCTGAAAAGCAAGCTTCTGGGCACTTTGGAGGGAGTGTGCCTCCCCCGAGGCTCCTGGGCACACACAGGTGGGTCTTTGGAGCTGTCTGGCCAGCATGTGTGCTGTGCATAGGGCATCAGCCAAAACCCTCTGCACCCCCACTATCAACACCCAGAGAGGGGGCCTTGGCTGCCCTGGGACCGTGGCAGCCTCAGGGAGGAAGGAGACTGAATTCACTCAGCTTGGGTAGCCTCTCAGTGAAGAAGTGTTTTTTTCTGGCAAAAACACACACAAAGGAAACAGGTTCTCTCTCTGTCTGTGCGTGTTTACAGACCCCTGGACACCTCCAGCAGCACCACATCTCCAGCACTTGCCTGAGATAGTGGTTTGGCCGTGTGGTGGTTTTGGCCCACAGGACCCTCCCTCAGCTCATTATAATCCACTGTATTTCCCCAGCAGGCTTATAATCGAATTACTCAAAATTGCATGGCTTTATTGCATAGTGCTAAACTCCAAGACAAACAAATGCCCAGATAATGAACAATTATTTATGACAAATTATTACCTTTACTTATAAGACGAGCAGTTTCCATTAAGCTTAGGAAAGGTGTCAACCCCCTTCTAAGAAAATGCAGGCTCACTAAAGCAAGTGCCCGCTGAGGGGGGCTCTGGAGGGCACTATATTTGTGCACACACCTGCCAGCTGTGCCGTGGTTGTGGATGGGGACCAGCAACCCATTCTTCCATCTAATGGTGGTCATACTCCTGTCTTAGCTTGTGGCTGGACACATCTCTAGGGCTTGTGGCTTTCTGGTGTCCTTTGCACAGATAAAGGCAGAGGCATCAAAGCACACAAAATGCTTCATTTTTCCATTTGCATTTAAGTTTTAGCATTTTCGTTTTGTTTGAAACGGAACTCAACTTTTAAAATTATTTATGGACTCAATAACATATGTTTGGGTTATTGAACCCCCTTTCCCTGGTTCTCCTCATGAACAGAATTGTCTCACAGCTAATTATAACATACAGTATTTTCCCAGTAGTCTTACAATCAAATTATTCAAAATTGCATTTCTTTATTGCATATTGCTAAAACCCAAGACAAGCAAACATCAAGATAATAAACAATTATTTATTGCAAATTATTACCTAATATATAAGATTAACAGCTTGTAACTATTAAGGTTAATACATGCGGTAAACTGTATTTATTATACTTATTTTGTAGCAAATATCTTTGTATAAAACATATGTTTATGTATTGCAATTAATGAGAAAAAGTGTAAGATTAACAATTTATGTTGGGTTTTGTTTTTAGATTTATGCCTACTGTAAAACTTATTTATTGCACTTATTAAAAGTATTTAATGATGGACTTTTAGATGCTGTATTCTTAATGTGAAAATATAAACTAAAGGAGTATTAAATTACAAAATGGAAAATTATAACTGAAGTCAAAGAATCTAACTATTTTCTGCTATAAATCTGCCTTAAAAAGATTATCACTGGAATTACTGAATCTTTAAATAGTGGCCTTTATAGTACATAATGAGTTTCAGTGAGTTATCCTTTGGAAGGCTTTTTTCATCATTAAAACTAAACTCAACATCTTGCTCTTAAAGATAAATGTAGCTAGAAGCATAAACACCGAGCTGCTCAGTTTTATGATGAGAGGTCACATTGGAGAGAAGAGGGAGTGGGGCAAGTCCCTCGGAGCTGGGAAGCAGGATGAGCTAGAGGAAAAACCAGAGGCCAGGCTCTGTGGCAACTTAACCGCCTGGCTTGGAGGACCAGCTCATCTTGCCTCCCTGGCTCACCTTCCTGGACCTGGACCTGTTTCTTTGCTACAGAATCAGAAAATGGTACACACAAAGGTGGCGATGCTCAGACCTTTAGAATAGACCTGAGTTAGAAAGAACCACCAGTTCTTTCCATCGGTACTGTGCTCCCCAGGGATTCACAAGCCCCCAGGTGCTAAGTCAGGAGAAATACTCTAGATGGCATGGGGGAGGTGAAAGCAAGTCCCTGGAAAAAGTCTGCCCCACATTTGGGCCATCTACATGTATGGATATTCTAACAAACAGTGAAAATGAGTAATTCCTGGGTTTGCAGGGGAGGAAAGTCTCTAGCTCAGAGTTAACATGTTGAAGAAGATGAGTGTGGGTCTGTGTAGCAGTGCGTCTGCCCCTGTGCATCTGCAGTCCGTAATCAGTACCCCGATGTACTAAAAGCTATCCTGGGAGTCCTGAGTCTGAGGTCTCACTCACCCCGAGGGGAGCCCTAAAGAAACTGGTGGTGAGGTTAGTGGTTAGAGCAGTGTTTCTCAGCTGCATAGCAGAGACTTCCAGAATGGACTTTCTTGTGTGACTGACTGGGGACTTCAGATAAACCAGTATGTCCTCTGGGCAAGGATGGGCAAAGAGGCACAGGGCTGGCCTCTGCATCTTGTGCAGTGACAGGAAGGGAGGAAGCAGGAAGAGGCTGAGAGGGTGGAGGGGGGTTTCTGGTTCTCACCCATCTCTGGCCTCTGCTGGAGCGTCAACACACACTCAGCAGGCAAGTGTGCATCAACTTGGCAGCTTGCACTATTTTATTTGAGATGTTAAGAGCTCTCCCCTCCCTATAAATAATTCTATTAATTGTAGTACAGGACACACACAAAAGTTCTTCCAAAATGTGCAGAAACCGAATTCTAAATCTGTATACGACACAGCTGTACCATGCCTGGATGTATGCTCAGATGAATCTGAGTGTGCGCACCCCAGACACCCCAGGCACGTGGGTGGATAAAGAAAACATGGTGTAGACACACAAGGGAGTTTTATTCAGTCGTAAAGAATGAAGTCATGTCACTGGCAGGGAAAGGGGTGGAACTGGAGATTATTTTGTCAAGCGAAGTAAGCCAGACTCAGAGGGAAAGTATGTTTTCTCCCACATGCAGAGCCTGGATTTTATCTACAGGAAAGTGAAGGGCAGACTGTCTGGGAAGAGGAAGGGGACCAGAGAGGGCAGCAGGGCCGAGCAGGGAGGACATGACGTACATATGAAGACGTCACGGTGAGACCCACTGATTGGAACAAGAAACGTGGTAAGAAAAATATTTTGTGTGTGTGTGTCTGAAGTTACAAGGGAGCTGTTTGTGTTCCTCTCGTGGGGAGAACCTGGAACCGCCTCCAGGTGGCTAGGGGAAGAGAGGTGGCCACACAGGTTCTGTTTCTTCCTCTGAACGTTCTTCAACTGGGCTGGGTAAGGGCTTCCTGCTCCGCTGTGCCCAGAGTCCCGTTCTTCTCATAGGCTTCCGTATACCGACTTGATCACCGATCCATTTCCTCATCTGCTGGCAGATGGGCTCCTTTGTCCTTCTTCCCTTCCCCTCCTCTTTCCTTCCTTCCCCCTTCCTCCTTCCCCCCTCCCCTCCCCCTCC